TGGTTATAATGATTTGGCTTTCTATGAGTGAGGCACCATACTAGATGATCTGGGACTACCAAAGTTTTGACATGGTGTCCATCTATTTTTGGTTATAATATCTGTTAGACATACATTTAAAGTGAGAGGCCAGTGTCTGCCCCTGCCCCATACAAAACTAGCTAAAAATATGCACAGCTTTCTGAAGGGCTTTGTGAAGGAAAAAAACAGAAGAAAAAGAAAGAGAGGCATGAGAGAGATAATCTGAGAACCATCAGAAAGGAAGTGTGTAACGCTTCTTATTGCAAGGGGATCAGGACTATCAATTAATCAGGGCAAATGTACAAACAAAATATCTGAGATTTAGGTAGTGAATAAAACTTGTAAGACAAATAACGGAGAACAGAAAATGGCATTCTTGGTAGAATAGAACTTTATATTCTCAGTAGGAACAGTAGGAAGCACCATCCAGAGGCAGAAGACTTTCAGTAGATTTATTCACTCAACATACATTTATGGCATGTCTCCTATGTTTTAGACACCATCTGAGGCATTGGTTATAGTATGAACATGATATACATGTCTCTACCCTTATGTCTGATCTGCTGTTGGAGAGAGAAGCAATAAACTGTAACCAGTGAATGAATGAGTTGAAAGATGCTTTAGGTCATTTCCTCTGTATGAGATAAAGGTGAAAGAGGTTCCAAATCTTACTGTATATGTTGAAATATAAAGAATTCTAGAATGTAAGCTCCATGTATACAGAGGTTTCTGTAATTTCATTAATATACCTTTAGCGCCTAGGACAGTACTTGGCACAGGAGTACTCAACAACTATTTTTTGAGTCAATAAACATTGCTATTCCACAACCAGCTCCAAGGTAAGATTTCTGGCTCTCAATGCTGGTTACTAAATATAATAAAAAGCTCCTATTAGCTGTCTGTCAGATTAGAAAGAGTCACATATATAATAAATTTAGGCCGGGTATGGTGGCTCATGCCTGTAATCTCAGCACTTTGGGAGGCCAAAGCGGTTGGATCACCTGAGATCAGTTCAAGACCAGCCTGGCCAACATGGCAAAACCCTATCTCTACCAAAAATACAAAAATTATCCCCACATGGTGGCATGCTCCTGTAGTCCCAGCTGAGGCTGTGACTATAGTGAGGCTGAGGCACGAGAATCACTTGAACCCAGGAGGCAGAGGTTGTGGTGAGCTGAGATTGCGCCACTCCAGTCTGGGGCTTGGGCGACAGAGTAAGACTCCATCTAAAAAATAAAAATAAAATTAAAAAAGAGAGAGAGAAAGAGAAATTTATCATATGTCTCCAAAGTCAGTGAAATCTAGAATTTTGGAATATTATAGTATTTCTAGAATTTTTATTCTTAGCACAATGTTAGTACTTTTTCTTGTAGGCAATTAATTTTCCATAATGACCCAGGCATTTAATTTGTATGGAAACATCAAGTAAGAATTTGATCATAAAATTGATTTATGAGTTTATAGCAGTGTCTACACAACTTAAAAAATTCTGATTCAAACACTACACAGATAAATTGAATTAGGTAGTTGTTTCCATATGGGCAACTTATTTGTGTAATTTTCAAACTGTTTTGATATTGAGTGGTGGTATACTAGAGGCCAACTCAGGCTTAAAATAGCCTTCCAGCACATGTCATTCATATGTCAACACATATGCATTCAAAAGTTATTATACTTTCAACAAATATTCATCACTAACTACCCATATACTTGTGCTTTTACTCTTATAACTCTGTGTTTAGTGTTAAACCTCTTCTCCTTTTTCAATCTATAATTCCTAAAAGATACTATCTGATCTCATGGATTTTATTATCATTTATAAAATCATGACTTCCAAATTTAAATATGAAGCCCAAACATCTCCTTTGAGCTCCAGACCTGTATAGCCAAACTACTATGAAACACTTCTACTTGGATATAATAGGAATGTCAAACCAAATATTATTCCCCTACACTGACCACCTTCTAACCTCCCCCAAAGCAAGTTGTCTCAAAGTTTTTTCCTGATTTCATGGAAATTCTGTCCTTCCATTTGCTCAGTCCTCAAATTGTGAATAATCCACTACTTTAAAAAAAAATCTTGGCCGTACACGGTGGCTCATGCCTATAATCCCAGCACTTTGGGAGACCAAGGTGGGCGGATCACCTGAGATCAGGAGTTCAAGGCCAGCTTGACCAACATGGTGGAACCCTGTCTCTACTAAAAACACAAAAAGTAGCCAGGCATGGTGGCAGGCACCTATAATCCCAGTCACTCGGGAGGGCTGAGGCAGGAGAATTGCTTGAACCAGGGAGGCGGAGGTTGCAGTGAGCCGAGATTGTGCCTGCCTTTGCACTCCAGCCTGGGGGACAAGAGTGAGACTTCGTCTCAAAAAAAAAAAAAAAAAAAAAATCTTACATTCCTTATCTAACTCATCAGAAAATTCTATGGACCCATTTTGGTACATGTAGAGAATCTGGCCACTTTTTCCACCACCGCTGTTTCTTCTCTGGTCCAAGCCATGTTCTCTTTTCTGGATTATTACAAAGCCTTCCTAGCTGGTCACCTTGCATCTGTCCTTGCTCCCTTTAGTCAATTCTTCATACATCCGCCATAGTTAACCTGTTAAAGCATGTCAAATCATGTTGCTCCAAAGTTATATCATGTAAGTCATAATAAAAGTCAAATTATTTCTAATGGCCTAAAAGTTCTACTGAACTGGGCTCTATCTTACCTATTTGAAGTCAACTCCTAGTTTGCTTTTTAAGATCTACTCTACTCTGGCATATTGGCCTTGTTGTTCTTCCTGGCGCTCATAAGGTGTATTCCCCATTTATCCTTTGTACTTTCTGCAGTGCCTGGCACATAATAGGCTTCATAAGATGTTAAATTTATTCAAAAATGTTGAATGAATTAATAGATAAATAATGAATTTGTTCATTAAACGATGGATTTATATGAGGTCATGGAGTTAAAAAGAAAATCCTCTTTCATTTGGGTTACATACAGGTAAAGGCAAATTCCCACACTAAGTTTAAATGCTAGAGTAGGAATTAGTACAGTGTACTATATGAAAAAAATACAAACAACACCTCGTTTAGTCTTTTGGTGAGAAAAATGATTTTCTCAGAAGACATAATATTTAAACAGACACCCAAAGATTGATTACAAATTGCTTCAGTAGAGACAGCAGGTAAAAGGGAATGTAGTCTTCAGGCAAATTATAGCCATACATTCGGTTTCACACAGTGAAGACCGTGAAGGACAAAGTATTTACAAATGGAGAAGCGAATAGGGACCTGGTTGTCAAAGACCTTAACTACCTTGGTGGATAAAATACAGAAACAGTGAAGAACATTGAGGAAAGGAGTGGCATGATCATACCATTTTTAAAGATAGTAATGGATCTAATATGGAGAATGAATTAGACATGGGCAAGCCTCAAATCAGGAACACTGGATAAAATGTTATTGCTACAATATAGATAAAAGATAAAGATGGACTAAACTAAAGCCAAGCGTAAGGCAATGGAAGACACAACTGAGCTATGCTAACTCATGCTAAATCTAAATCTCTGCTCCATGCAGCTATGAGAATTTGAAAGGACAAACATGCTCACAAACTGTGGCCTGCAGTACCACCTGGCATCTGTACTGAATGGAATTTAAGAACAGCTGCTGCTAAGCATGGACAAATTCAATTTGTGTAAACACTTTGCACAAAACACCATCAACCTCAAAGAACTGACTTCAGGCACATAGAAAAGTATGATGTCTTACACACAATACAGCTGTACTTAGGATGCCCATTCATTCATTCACTTATTCCCTCATTCACAAATATTTATGGTATAACGACAAGTAGCAGGTACCTTTCTAAGAACTGTAGATATAGCATTGAACAGATAAAATCCCTGCCCTCACTGAGATTACATTCCAGTGAAGAGAAATCAAAAATAAACAGACATCTAAAATAGTGTGTCAGATGATGATAGTTGCCATGGAGAAAAATAAGGGAGGAAAGGCGGTTAAGAAATGTCAGGGGAGGGACAAAGACAGTTTCAAACTGGAAAAAGAGGAGAGTGAATTAGTACACTGATAAACCTCTGAGCAAGATTTGAATGAGATGAGGAATCAAGGCAGGCAGCTACCTGGATCTTAGAACACAGAAAAAATTTTCACCCAACCGTGATATTTTAATTCAAAATATGTAAGTGATTTGAAGGCATCCTTTGTTTTAGTAGTGCTAGGTATATTTTTATCTGGCAAGCAGGTTGGTGCTATAGCTGACCCCAGATGAACTGACTTAATTCACCCTCAGAAGCTCCTAGGTTCTCACAGACTCTTAGAGACAGATAAAGGTCAGGGTATGAACCAGATTCTTCCCTAGAAGCTGCTAAATCACTCCCTTGAGATGACATATGAGAGCATCTCAGGCACAGCTGGCATGTTCACAATCCTCTATCTAGCCAAGATCAACTGTGGCTTCATTTGGATATTATTATGGTTCAAAATTTAAAAAAAAAAAAAAGTATGTTGAAGAAAAGTGTGTACTACCATGTTCATTGCAGTATTACTCACAGGAATCAAGCAAGGTGTCCACTAGTGGATGAATGGATAACAAAGATGTCACATATATACATAATGATATATGAATAGTATTCCATCAACCTTTTAAAAAAAGAAGATCCTCTCATTGGTGACAATATGGATAAACCTGGAGGACATTGTTGTCTTACGCGAAATAAGCCAGGTACAGAAAAACAAATACCCAATGATTTCACTTACAGGTAGAGTGTAAAAAAGTCAAACTCTATAGAAACAGGAATAAAATGGTTACCAGAGCTGCAGAGCGAGAGTATTAGGGAGATGCTGGTCAAAGTACAAAATGCAAACACACACACACACACACACACACAAAAAAAACAACAACAATCAAAAGTTACATTTTTTTCTTTATAAATATATACAAATAAAGAAAGAAAATAGTTTATGTAAAACAGGAAAAAGTATAAAATTAAAACAAAAATCACTTGTTTTCCATCCGGAGATAAACAATTTTGTTTCTTAGGCTTCTACAGTCCAGATAACTCTTAACTGCAGGGAAGGGGGACATACACCTTTAATTAAAAGGACATCTTCTTTTTCTGTTTGAACAGAATTACATTGTGTAGATACTACACTCAGTTGCTTCTAGAATGCCAAATTCTTTCAAAGGCTACATGCTGCTTTTTGGGGTATACTACCAGGCAAAGATTGGCATGTTCTATTACCAAATACTCCCTGCTGATGTACTTGTGACCATATAGATATATTTGTTTCTAGAACATGCAGTGACATTGTTTTACTGGGGGTGACTTTTAACTGAGCCATTATAAATAGCACATTTATTTGAAGAAGGAAACCTGTTGGAGAACTCTAATATAAATTCAACAAACAAATAGTAAGACAACTGTTTCTTACTCAGCACATCATTGAGAAAGTTGCTTAACATCTCTGAGCCTCCGGTTCTTCATCTGTGACATCTGTAATATCCACCTTTCTATATCTCAATTTGTTAGTAATAAAGATGACATGTAAAAGTGCCTTTTCACTGTAAAATGTCATGCAAATGCAAGGGTGTTATTAATGATTAAGGTAGTCCTTTAGTGTTTCAAATCTCCTGTTTGAAACTCAACTCTCAATGCTTGCATCTTCCAACTACAGGAACTCAAATGGACCCAAAGCACTAACATTAAACTACAGTGCCCCCTAGCACATGTAGGAGGTCAAGGCAGCTTACAGGCTTCATGAATAGGCTCTACCACAGATGGTTCTTTTGCCTGAGGGAAGAACTATTAATTGTACTTTTGGACAATTTCCATTTGTCCAAAAGGAAAAAACATTTATGCATTTTCTTCAACACTTGCCTGTAACATTGTTTTTATTTTAATTTTTAAAAGGGAGTAAAAAAGTTAATATCCTGTACTATTTACATTTTCCTCTGGTTGCTCTAAATTAAGAGTATTTCTAAAAGAACAGTACTAGATTTATCTTAAGATTCACCGTGATGTTTCTGATTTATATTTGCTTACCTATTTTCACTCACCAAATTCTTTACAATCTAGTGTGAGAGAGGATATTGTTCATTGCACTCTTTTCACAGAGGTAGAATACGGAGTTAAGCTTTTATGCAAGATTGTACAGAAAGCTATTATTATGAGCTTCAGCCCCCTAATTTCTATACACATTAAATCCACCAAGAGACACAGAATTGTGTAAGGAATTGCCATAGAATATTTTAATATCAAAATGTAGAAATATTTGCTATCATAGTTTTATAAAAGCCCAGATTAAAAATATATCAATTGGGTTCTTCCATAGACTACAGTTCTTTGTTTATATTTCGTTCTTAATTTCATAAATTTTTATAGAAATTTATAAGTTCAAATGTCCCAGTACGTAAATTGGTTCCCAAAGTGATGAGTCCTTAGGAAAGGAAACGTGCTGTATGAGTTTATTTTTTCCATGCTGTGCATTTAAGTATTAATCAGCATAGCTTTCAGGGATTTCTTTCTAATATCCTTTCCTATGTAAGATAAGGACTGCAATTCATTATACCATTGGAGGAGCCAGAGGCTTTGCTAAGTTTTGCCTTTCTTGACTGTTCATCTCAAATTTAGTGGGAGTGTGTGTGTGTGTGTGTGTGTGTGTGTGTGTGTGTGTAGCTATATTAAATTGGTGACTGGACTTTAATTATGACACAATGTTGGTTGCCCTTTAGGCTAATCATCTCTCCCTTTCAGGAGGTCAAAGATCATTTCAGCCTCAGTGTGCTTTATAACTACCTACTAAGGGAGGCAGCAAATCCTGGGCAACTGAGATGTGACTTTTATCATCAGTTATTTTTCTTTATATCTTTCTATCAACATAGCTCAGGGAACACTCAAGAAATAAAAAATTACTCTTCACCAAGTACTAGCTTTCTGGGATCTGATCACTTCTAAGTGTAAACCTCTATTACCCTAGCAATGGTCCCTGGCGTTCCTTTTATTCCTCTTATATATAAACATCACAAAAAATAACAACAAACCCTGAAGCCCGCAGCAAAGAGAACGCAAGCACGGCACCGTCCCTCTTCGTACTGCCGTTTTCACTTGGTAGAGGAGGTTAAATTTTGGAGAGAATGGTGGCATTCATAGGAGGGGCGGGGTAAAAGTGTTGTCTAATTTACACGTTAATGGCAGAACTCGCCTTAACCACGTCCCTCCTGCACAGTGGTGAAATCCTCCTGTGTGCTCCTGTGTGGATCCCGAGACCCTTCTCGCTTTAAGAGAGCCTCCCGCGCCCCTCACTCCGCCCCTTCCCAAGTCTCTGGGCTCGTCAAAGCTTCCCGAGAGCCATGGTTGGTCCAGGCAGGCAATCGGAGCACCTCATGGAGCGGCTGCTAACCCAGGGTGGGGTGGGGTGGGGTGGAGGGGTCTGTTTGTAGTACTCTCAGTCCTGATGTCACAGGCGCGGCAAGGACATCGCAAGGAGGAGTCGGATTACAGTAAGGATGGGCAGTGCAGCAGGCAGCCCCAGCGCACTCTCCAGCCGCCGGGGATCTTAGCCCCGGAAAGGCAGGCTGCAAGGCGCTCATCCCGCGGAGGAGGCACGCTCTCGGCGCTCACTGCTCTCCACGCCAGGGACATTTCCACCGAATGTAGCATGAAACGGCTCTGCTCTGCGTGCCAGCCTTGGGTGAGAGCTGATGCTGAAGACAACGCGGTGGGATTCCAGCTGTCTGATTAATGAGAAACATAATGTATTTTGGTGAGTATTCACTCTGATGATGTAATTCTGGGGGTGTCCGGCTCTTCATCAGTGCAGACAAGCCCTTAAAAAATTCTTTAAGCTGCAAGAATATATTACATTAAACCTACCTCCAGTTGGCAACTGGAGGACCAAGCCGGTGCAGCCTTCAAAGCTTCCTTTGTGCCACTATTGGGGCTGTTAATTTGGCCGTGGATGAGTTTAAGTTGGAAAAGAAAAGAGACAGGGACGTGTGTGGGGGGGCAAACTTTGCCTTGATTTGCCCGAATGAAGTTGGCTGTTTTAGCTAGGTGAAGGAGAAATGGTGCAGCGTGGGAAGTCATGAGCAAACTTAATGGAATGTGAAACAAAGTTCCTATACTACTGATGCTGTGAAAGCTTAGTCAATATGAGCATTTCATTAAGCTTTTGCTGTTTTTTCTTGTTCAGAGGCGGAGAAGGAAAACATTCTCTAGTGAGCAGTGGTTGAGCAGCTGAGAACACTTCTCTATATCATCTCAGTGCTCTGTCTAGCTAGGAGCAGCCTAGCACAAAATGCATATTACTTTAAACCTTTAGAGGTCTCGGAGCTGTCAAATATTTGTGCAGTTTAGTGTTGTGCCACGGTAGAAACCTCAGTTAGGTTTTCACTTGAGCTGCCTGCATTTCCAGAAAGCATGTTCAGGCTTAGATCTGAGCTATCAATTGAGCACTGGAAGTGGGCTTGGAGCTGGGCATTTGCACTCTTAACACTGCAACTTACTGCTAGTACAGGAGGCAAGCCCCTTCACTAAATAAGAAGTCGTCAAGGATAAGGACTGAATATTTGTTCGTCCTCTCTGAAGTTATGCTTTCCTTCTGTAAGTCCCATCTGGCATCATCATTTAAGGGCATCTATGTGATATTAAAGGTTTGATAGAGCAACTGGAGAGGGGCTAGAAATGTATCCAAGATGCAAATACTCTGATTTCTTGGTTTGCTTTCAATATTAAATCTAGAGTCTTCTTTCAGATTAAAGAGGTTTTAGATACACTTAGGTTGTTGGGGCACTATCAGTTTGTTGGGCATGTATTTCTGTATGTACTATTTGCTCTGTTTTGTTTCCTTTAGTCTTTGAGACATTTGAGAGAGTGTGGAAGGAACCTAAGTTCCAAAAGCTAAATGCCTTTAGTTGTCTTGACGGTTTTGATTTCCCTGTAATTTGTGTCATATTAGAAAAGAAGTCTTAAAATAACTGAAAATGATTTGAAAGAAACAATCTTCCTTGCTTCACCAAATTTAAGCAGAATCTATAGTTAAAAACCATCTCTTTCCAGTGGGTAGTGATGGAGGTGGTAAGCTTGTTTATTGGCCACTAATAGACTTTATCATGCATATATTTTCATAAATGGAAAAGCTTGTAAAGATAATAAGTCTTTTGGACAAAATAAAATTTCAGCATCAGTAATGATACTGAAGGGTGATGAAATTATAATTTTAGTTTATATTTTCACCCCGTTGCAACAATTCCTTATGTGATTGTCATGAGGAAGTAGGGCCAGTTAGAATAGCAGTAAAGTCTAAAAGTACTGGTCAAAGGCCATCCATGCTGTACTGGATTATCGTGTGACTATTGGAGAAATGTTCACTGGGCTAGCTCGTGTTATTAACTGTATGCTAGTTCAGCCTCTTGTAAAGCAGAGTGATTCATAGGGTAATCAGTTTCATTGTGTAACACAAGTTTTTAATAGTACGAATTGAAATGTGATGTCCTACTTACTTCAGATGACACTCTACTCTTTGAAAGGCAAGGCTAAAGTTGCCCTCCGTGTCTTGAACATTTTCTTACCATAATTTTGGTATAAGAAGTGTTTTTCTATTCCCAGAGGAAATCCTAGGTATTCAGGAATGCCGTTTCTTTCAGGGTATGCTATGCAGCTTGTCGTTCAAGCTGTTAGATATCCACAACTTTGGGAGCCCACCTGTCTCTAAAAAAAAAATGTGTAGTACAAGAGCGAGGGCAAAAAGAATTAAGCAGTATACTTCAGGCATGTTAAAATTCAATAGCATCCTAATGTTTGAAAATCCTAAAGACTATGTATGTATATATGTATGTATGTATGTATGTACGTACACACATATATGTGTACATGTGTATGTATCTTAATGTGTTTGTGTTCAAAATTGTAGCGATTTCAGGTAATTCTTCAAAACAATGCTTTCACTTTGCAAATTGGTTGGCCATTACTTTCTTCTTCATTTTTCAACTGCAAATGGTTTATCAAGTCAGGGAGAACAGGGACAAAGGGAAAGCGATGCTGCATTCTTAGGTTTTTCTGGTGATTTGTGAGAATGGGGTAGAGGCGTCATAAGTCCTTTATTTGTGTCCCCAGCAGAGCGTGATGAAGAGCATGGTGATGCTATGGTATGGGGTGAATTGATATGAAAGCAGGATATTTACTTCCTTTATAAATCATCTGATTTGTCAGTGTTGCCCCCTCCCCCCTACCCCTTCAAATATAGCTGAAGAATCACTGCCTGAATAGCCTGGCTCAGCCTATCTGCTTCAATTCATTCCTCCTTCCCCTTGGGACTGGACAACTGGACCCTGCCCTAGCTTAGTTGGAGTCAGTTGTGTGTGTGCAAGTTGGTGGAATATGTAATATTTTCGGATCTCAAGAACAGCTCATGTTTGGAGCGTGCTGTCTCAGACTTACCAGACTAATAGAGCTTTCTAATGACTTACGCCTCACTCTTATCTCCTATTGAGATTTTAGTGCAGTGATTTCAATAATCGCTCATCTGTACTTCCTGTGCCATGATTTAAGAGTTTGCTGTTCGGTCACCGTGGATACTTTTGTTACTTAATCTATCGATCTTGGATCTTGCATTCACTATTTGGAGTTAAATATAAGGTTCATATGGGAGAAGGAAGCAGGGAAAATCTCAGTCAGCAAACTGAGTGTGATTTACTGTAAAAGCAAGGGAAAAATATAAATACTTATGATTTTACCCTCCCACCCCATCAATATTTTACATAGTTAAAAATTACATGTGCCAAAGATGAATAGCCATTAATAATTTATCCAGAAATAAAAGCAAGGCAGCTGGGGGACTTCTCCCTAGATTAAGGAGAAGAGGCTGTGGGTGGTTGTCAGTACAATGGACTGAGCTGCCCAGTTACAGTTTAGTTAAGAGGACTGTGCTGGTATGAAGGGCAGGGTCTTTGCTTGAGTGCACCCTGGCGATTGCTCAGCACCTGGCAGAAGGTTGTAACTGTGCACTGTCTCCAGCTCTAAGCACCGTATGTTTGAATTGTCTCCCCCTTCCCATCTGGCCTGACACATTTCTCCACTGCTGGATAGGTGAGTCGTTGCCAGTGGTCATGTCAACCACACAGATTCCCCATGGTTGGCCAGAGAGATGCCATGTCTCACCCTTTGCCATTGGGAGAGAAAATGGGAGGCTGATGTACTGAAGAAATTCTGTGTGGGTGCATATCAGTAAGCTTTCAATTCTGAGTCAAGCAGGTAGAGACTGTGGTAAGCTTATAGCCAAGAAGGAGCTGGGGCTTGCCCCCATGATAATACTCCTAAAAAAAATGAAATGATACACCTTAAACAGAACTAAGAGGCAAATATTAGAGCTCTCCCTAAATGTTACTATTAATGACATATTAATTAAACCTAGAGAAAAGGGCAGGCAAAATTTAGAAAGTGTGAATGAACCATTCAAGTTCGCTTTGGTGTTAGTTGTGGATCAACTCTCTTCATTAAAATGCCTAAGAAAAATAGGAAACACATTTGGTGGTGTGCCTGTAATAAAAAAAAAAAACCTGAGGAAGCTTTTAGTACAACAGCAAAAAAAAAAAAAAAAAATTGGTAGGAAAATTCTAGGACAGAACCCTATTCCCCTGCCTATAGTAGACACATTTGCACATTGTCTTAGGAAGGACTTTTGTTTTCCCCTGGAATGTTTAGAACATTCTCAAGTCAGCACTTACACTTTTGGTTGTAGCTGGACCATCAAGTTCACCTCCAAACTAGTGTGCCAGAAAAACATTTAAATGGCAAGGTTATGAGGAAGGAAATGATCAGAAAGCAGCAGGCAGCAGAGAAAAACATTCTTCTTTTTTAGTGGTTTCAGTGGAAACATTTAACTCCTTCTAATTAGTTTGTACTGAGTGATCTGTTATGGAGAATTAGGTCCACTAGACTATTTCTAAACACTCAGCCAGTGTTTCTATCTTCCCAAAGCTGACAGGGGAGAGAATAATTCAGCAAGGAACTTCTATGTCTAAAGTCCCCCTTTTAAAGCTTGAAGTCCTGACCATTATGTCTTATTACACTTAAATCTAAATTACATGCAATAAATTACTACAAAACAGGGCTGGAGAATGTAACAGGTGAATACTATCAGAAAGGGTCATGCATAAGAATCTGAAATCTAAGATAACTTTAAAAACCATAAAGATTTCTTCCTCAAGACTATTCTCCTTTTAATTTCACGTGAAGTTCTTATTTTAAAAGCCAAATTCCAAATTTGATCAACATACCAGTAACATGGATTCCTTATCACACCCTTAAATTTTAAGCTAGTTTTTTAAAGACCTCCATAGTAGTTGTGATTATATGGAAATGAGATACGTTTATTTAAGGGATAAGTTCCAAAATTCATGAGCTAATGATGACTTGCAAAGTTACGCTTTCGTGGGTGACATAATTGTTCCAAAAAACAAATGAAAAATTTAAATTAGTGGTTTCTGATTTCCATTCCAGAAGATTTGGTCACAGCTGCTTTTGACTGAACACTCCCTTGATAAGACAAGATGTATTGGTTGGTGTGTGTGTGTTTAATACTGGAATGTCAAATAGTTCCTTGTTACATAGATACTTAATATTATACTTCATTCATAGCATTTATGTATTCCTGGATCTTTTCATATCATTTGAAATATAATACATTAAGTATTGACTTAATAAGGTAGATATTAAAGTATTTTTTAAGCACAGCTGGCTTTCAAGTTTAGCAACCATTATATA